TGTGTGTGTGTGTGTGTGTGTGTGTGTGTGTGTGTGTGTGTGTGTGTAAGAGAAAGAAAACTGGCTAGATACACTCATAAATTCTGGCTCTGTTTGGCTGCTCTAGTGATGCAAAGCAGCCAGAATGTACTGGTGAATCTATCTCAGCTCTGTGTGTGTGGGTATGGGGAGAAGGGGACAGGAGATTAGGCTGTAAAGAGGGAGATTAGGTTGTTGTTTTGGGTAATATTTAATAATGGTGTGTGTGAGTTTCACTCTCTAAGCTACTTTCAGCATACCAAATTGGCTTAGATTTGGCGATTCAGAACCCCCAATCCCCTGTCATCTGTTTATAGTCCCCAGAAGCTTTTTGGTTGGAATGTTCATTGACAGTAACAACTGTGAAATCGACTAGTGTCACTGCTTTGTTCTAAGCTTCACATGTGATGGGGATGATAAATTCCCATTAGCGCTATCTTATCATGTGATTATTCTCGTTTCCAGAGGGATTGCTGTAATCAGTTTCTTCAATTTTACATTAAAATGTGTGGTCCCTTATGAGAACTACACATTTAATTCACGATCTTGTCATACAAGCGGATTCCTATACGCTAGGTTGATCCTGCAAGGTGAAAACAGCACATTGGACCAGTGCAGTAAATCAAACAAATCTGTGGATTGTTAAGAGAGCTGCATCCCTCTCGCTCCCAGCAGCATTTAAGAAGTTACGTAGTGTAAAACATAAATCGTAATGTAAAAATGGAATTGTTTTTTATCATTAATATCGTCATTCTAAATGCTCCCAGTGGTGGGAGCCATCTTGCCAAAAGTAACCTCACTTGTGACCTAGCCAATCTCCACTTGAGCAGGAGGATAAATGTTTTACCGCCTCTGGCATTAGGCTCCATTTTGAGAATACTTTGCAGTATGACAGACACTGTCAGACTACATATATCGGTCAAAATGCTTAAACTGGAGAGTATCCACACCAGAACCACGAAAGTTGAGTAGATGTGTTTCAGATTTGAAACCCTGATCTCTCCGGAGCCAACGCCACTGTAGCTTCTGCTCTAAAACCTGAAATGACCTATTTTCTGGATCCACTTCAGATGTCACACAGGTTAGCAGAGAATGTGACACATTTCACAAGGGCTGACCTCATGAAATTTTCATTATTTAAGATTGTGGGGCGATGGGGGGGAGGGGGTTTGCAAAAGCTACCGATCTTGTGAAATTTCCACTGCAAGAACAGCCCACCATGTTTTTGATGCTTTTGAACTCCAAGCCCTCAGCCTGGTTCAACATTAAGCCTGAACTCCAACCTGTAGCCAACCAAAATCTTAACATCATTGCCTTAGCCCATCTGTATTTCAAATGTTTTATAGTTTATAGGTGGGGAGACGTGTTTCTCACTATGGGCCTGAATCTGGAGAGCCTTTTTCTGATACCTTTACCTGTGCTGAATAGAGGCCCTAGCCCACAAATAGTCCCATTGGCTTCAGTGGGTTTACTCATGGACTGAAGTGCCAATTGGTGTGAACAAAGATATCAGAATAAGATCACAGATTATTTCTTGGCTTTTGGAAGAGGTCCTACTGGGCTTTCACAGAGAAAGGCCGATGACAGAGGAGGTTCTGAAAGCATGAAGAATACCCAGCTGTGGAACTTTCTCCACGAAGGTCCTGCCTGTGCTACAGATACAGCCCTCGTGGTGGACTCAGTTACATCATGGCTATCCCCAGGAACAGTTTTAAAGCACGGTTCCGTTGTGCCATCGCGACGGGACACCTCACCTCATTTTAAGAGCAGTGTGAAAACCTGGGCATGGTTTGAACCTTCAGTGCATTGTAACAGGATCTCCTTGCATGACTGCATGTGTAGTATGATCAAGAGCTTAAATCTGATCACTCTGAACAACAAAGCTAGTGGTTCTAACACAAGGAGAGAGTCAAACTGCCTCCAAAACAGAGACCGTAAATGTTAGAGGGGAGTGAGCTGGGAAATTCTGGGCTATATATTGTACACGGTTCAAGCTGTCTCCTCCCAGCCCCCACACTCAAGATAATAGACAAGAAGCACTCATCTCGCTTGGTTCTTTGTTTTCGCATGCAGCCTGCTTGGATCTGTCTTCGGTATAACGTTGCTGTCGATTGTGAATGCGGCCGACAGTGCCAATAGCCACTAGCCACTTGGCTCAGTCGGTAGCTGAACTAGAGGGTCTGAAATGATTGCAAGATATTTTACTTTGGCAGGTAGCTCGCTCGTGTGTAATACAAGAGCCATTTGCCAGTTACTGCTCTGTGCAGAAAGGGCAGGATGGCGCTTACAGACAAAGAGCTCTCAGTATGGGGTTCAGACAGAGCAGAAGGAGGATCACCCAACTCATGTATAAAGACAACATGCCAGATCAAAATGATTCACTCCTTTCCCTGAAAATTAAAACCATGTCTGTTGGAGGAAGGCTTGCATTCCTTTTTGTTTGTATGTAACACTGACCGGACACTTGGCTGGCTTTCTTTAGTGTGTGACGATCCAAACTGAGTTAGGCATGCTACAAAATAATAGCAACCCACTAGATCTGATTTTTTCTTATATAGTGTGTTTATATAAGCAATAACGCTTAGAGGTTTCCGGTCAGGATCGGGGTCGCAACGTGCTAGGTGCTGTACAGACTCCTATTATACTGCTGCACCCTATGTAAGAGATTCAGGAGATTATTATATGGCACACTTGAGGCAACATTTTCACTATGAAATCATCAGCCTTTGGAAAGGGATGAACAACTATCTGTATGGAAGAGAATTTAATTTGGAAGGGGCAGAATAATCTGAACAAAACAGAAGGGAATGGGGAATACAGAGTAAAAGGGGAAATTAAAATGGAGGTTGTACAGACTGAAATGGGGGAAGCCAAGCGGTGGATAGAAAGACATGTGTGACAGAGAACTTTAAATGGCAGGAAAAGGTGAGCTGTGTGTCGGGGGAAAGACGTGCAGCTAATGTGGGAGTGAGGTGTGGAATCTAAATGGCATAAATGGAGTCGGGCTGGCTGCAGACGTAATCCAGCCTTAACACATTCACTTGCACTTAATCACATAGCAGACAGCAGCGCAAGCAACGACAGTTTGTCTCTTTGGGAGACAGGGATTTTAGCCCAGTCTTAACAAATGCATGGAGCTGAATTACCAATATAGCGGGGAGCAGAGGGGGAGCTAATTGGAATGCGCCAAAAAAAAAAAAAAAAGTACAGTCATCCGCTGCCTCCTAAATTAGAAGGCAGGATATTGCTGGCGAGGGTCTGGATGCAAACACATCTAGAAATGAGCTGGCACATGACCTAAAGAAGGGTTAGTGACCACGATTCATTTTGTCCCTAAGCTCAGAGGCCAGTGGAACAGATAAGGCTTGTCATATTGGACTTCCTTGTACTAATATGGGCTGGGGGGGGGTAATAATGATGGGATGGAGTCTTTATGGCCAAAAATAAACACCACTGATGGACTTGCAAGGAAGATCCTTAAGTAGGGGATTTTATTCAAGATGTCCCTCTGATAGATCCTGCTCGGGACTCCTTTGTGTGTCTTTTGGGATGTTCTGGGGACTTCAGGTTTTTGGTTTTTTTTAAATTAGGATCTGGTGAGATTTAACTTCCCAGTGCTTTCATTTCCCCAGGTATCTTAAGGGCTTTAAGCAGTAGCCTGTCTCACATTGTCTTCCCATTTTACTATATAGTGTCTTTTATCCAAAGTGCTGGGTAAGAATAACAAACCCAAACAAACCAACCACTAGTGGTCCTGCATGAGAACAAATTATTAGAGTTACAAGAAGAAGAAAAGGGAGACATCAGATCATTAGAAGCAGCATTAAACAATCGGAAGGGAGAAAGGCTTCGAGATGGGCTTGAAGATGACAATGGGGAAGAGATTTCCAAAAAGTAGGGGATAGAAGAGGAAAAGTATAGTATTTAGAAATGGTAAGAGAAGAAGGAATAGTGGTAAGAAGAGTGAGAGATAACGGGAAGGAATAGGAAGTCAAGGAATAATCGGGGAAATAAGAGGATTTGATAGCATGAGACAGCAAGACCAGTGATAGCATTAGCGTGTGAAGTAATATCTACATTGTATTAATGAGATAGCACAAGTGGGTAGAAAGCTAGCCAAGCAAGAGGAGAAAGATATGAATAGCCAAGCAAAGCAAACTGGGGAAAGAAATTTGGAAGAGCTGCACAGGCAGCATGGAAGAAATCAAGACAGGAGAATGCCTGCCTTTGGCCCAGGATTACTGCTGTGCCAAAAGAAAGATTCACAGCTTTATGTGATGTTTAGAAGATAATCTGCAGGGGTTAGCAACATGAGAAGTGGGAGGGCTGCAAGGGAGACCTTGGTCGCAGATAATTCCAAGCTTCCCTATGTGTGACAACAGAAACAGTGGGAATACTTAGTGAGACGAAATCCTTTCTTGGTTATGTTTACTTTGGAGTAGCTGGCTGTACTTTTGCATTGCTAAACTTGAAGGG